AAGAAAAAAAATTGGGTTTTGACTCTCAACTTTTATTTGAAGCTGCGTTTTATTTACTATGCACTTCGAAATACTGTGAACGGATACCGCGTCTTGCTCAGGTTTGTTATAAGAGGACTCAACTGCACCGGGCAGACTAAGACGCTTTATTGACTGCTGGAATTATGCCTGGCAGTGACATGAATGACATCCGCACTTATAGCGTAATGAATGCAGAGGCAAGAAGCAAGCAGCTCGTAGCGTTCTGTAGCAGACGCAGGTGACGCAAAGAACCAAAAGCAGAAGATGCGGCTCGTGGATGCCCAAGACGCTGTTTTCCAGTGGCCAAGGCCGCGATCAAGAAAGTCTGCTGGATCGATGACTTTGACCTTTGTGCATTGCACGGAGTCATGCGCAATTCCTGTTAAATTAAGGAAATTCTGATGGTGCGTCAGCGCATCATTAACAGCACTCGCGGCTTGCAGACCATTAGCAGACGACAAGGCACGGAAGGATACATTTAGGTGTGCTCGCCTTTTTGATTGGTCGAGAAGGACTGCAGGTTCCATGATGCTGCACAGATCTCATAAAACAGAGTATTAGTGTGACATTCATACAAGTGTACAGAGAATGCGGCAGTGAATGCAGTGCAGACACCGTTTTTTAAAGGGCCACTCACCAGGTTTGACAATTTAGAGCTGACAAGCGCAATGAGTCGCAGTTGGACACCCCGTTGGACACCCCGTTGGACACCCCGTTCACACGCAGTTGGACACCCCGTTCCAGCTCCACGACCTCAAGGCGGCCTTATGCAAGATGAAGCGTTGCACTGCACCTGGGCGTGACCAGGTTACGGTCAAACTGTTGGCCAATCTTCCCGACGCAGCCTACACCACGCTCCTCAAATACATCAATAGCATTTGGGACGCTTTACAACTTTACAGGAACGACAACACAGCTGGCACACACGCTCAGGGACCAATACCTGTGCACCACCAATGATCCCCGGATGGCCGCATACTCTTACGCAGGCAAAAAGAACACGCAGTTGGACACCCCGTTCCAGCTCCACGACCTCAAGGCGGCCTTATGCAAGATGAAGCGTGGCACTGCACCTGGGTGTGACCAGGTTACGGTCAAACTGTTGGCCAATCTTCCCGACGCAGCCCACACCACGCTCCTCAAATACATCAATAGTATTTGGGACGGCGAAACTCCTCTCCCTCTTGAATAGAAATCAGCTCTTGTGACCTTCATCCCGAAGGCAGGTAAACCTATTGACGTGGAGAACCTTCGCCCCATCTCCCTCACGTCTTGTGTCGGCAAGCTGATGGAAACGATGGTGCGCGACAGACTCTCCGAGTTTCTAGAAACACAGCAAACTTTTGCGGACCCTATGTTTGGTTTCCGCTCTCAGAATTCAGCCCAGGATATACTTCTACAGCTCCACTATGACATATTAGATCCTGTTGAATGCCCCCACAATGACAAGGTAGTCCTGGCCTTGGATCTTAAAGGGGCATTCGACAACATGAAGCATGAGGTAAGCCTTGACCACCTCAGTCAGACCAACTGTGGTTATAAAACATTTAATTATGTTAGACAGTTTCTTACAGACTGTCAAGCCTACATACGCATACAAGATGAGGAACATGGGCCTTACGTCATCGGCTCGAGGGGAACTCCTCAAGGCGCGGTCCTCTCTCTCCTCCTATTTAATATAGCCATGCTTCATCTTCCCCCCAAATTGACTTCTCTACCAGGGATACATCATGCTCTTTATGCGGATGATATCACGATCTGGGCCACGCAAGGTAACCTGGGTCACATAGAGTCGTGCCTGCAAGCAGCAGCGACTGTAGTCACGACTACGCAACCTACTGCGGACTCCAGTGTGCCCCGGCTAAGTCAGAATTTGTGCACGTACGTCCCTCCCCTCAGGACACAACTCAGCTCCATATCAGTCTTCCCTCGGGACCGATCTATGAGGCCAAGGAGATCCGCGTCCTTGGCTTCTTCATACACCACCAACGCAAGGCCGACACCACAATAGCCAAACCTAGCACGGTGGGGGACCAGGTGGGCCGTATGGTCCGCCGGGTCTCCAACAAGCGAAGCGGATTGCGAAGCAGGGATGCAATGCGGCTTGCCCATGGTTTCGTAACGAGTAGAATACTCTACTCGACTCCCTACTTGCACCTATGTAAACACGAGGATGATCAACTCGAGGTCATCCACCGTAAAGTTATCAAGCAGGCCCTTGACCTCCCTATCACCACTTCCAACCAGAGACTTCTGGCCCTAGGCGTGGTGAATACCTACTGGGAACTTCGAGAAGCCCACCTCGTTAATCAATACACGCGCCTTGCACAGACCCATTCCGGTCGTTGCCTCTTGGATCGAATACACATCAAACACGATTACTATATTGAGGAAAGGGTGAGAGTGCCAGAACCTTGAAGACGCGCCGTCCGGGTTCGACCCCTTCCCCCCAACATGTCCAAAGAAAACCACAGTGGTCGCCGCCGGGCGCGCGCGGAAGCGTTGCAGCGACACTTTGGTCAAGAGGAACACGTGTTCTATGTGGACGTTACCGGCCCGCACCATGGGGGGTGGTATACGGCCGCAGTCATACACAACACAGACACCGTAAATTGGCTCACTTTCAAAGCCTACAGTGCTACACATGCGGAGGAGATTGTCATCGCTCTGGCTCTCACCTATCCCTCTTCTAAACATATCATCACCGACTCATGAGGGGCCTGTCGGAACTATCAGCTAGAGTGGGCTTCACCGATTGCTCAGCGCATACTGGAACCTAGCTGCCGATACGTTAATCCAACTCCGCGAAATCTGGTTTGGGCACCCGGTCACCAAGGACTCAGGGGTAACGAACAGGCCGATCAGGCCGCCCGCGCACTCTCTTCCCGGGCTATCTTCCTGTCTTTATAAGCCTACTCCCAATCAGACAACTCGGCCCTTTTATTCAAAGATATTACCAATTACTATAAGGAGGAGCACCGGCGCTATTCAGACCCTTGTAAGGGACTGCATCGCGCTGACGAGCGTCTCCTTTTAAAACTGTTTACCAATACCGTACTGTGCCCGGTGGTACTAAAACATTTCAATTCATCTTTTGATGGCACGTGCCAGTTCTGTGGTGAGGTGGCTGACACCTTTCACATCGTCTGGGCGTGCCAGTCTAATCCATCTATCCCCCCCAACCCCAACCTCACGAGAGAGGACTGGGAGGTGGCCCTGCTCGGCTGTCAAGACCTGAATGCCCAAAAAGCCCTGGTTCAACGGGCGCGGGCGGTGTTGCTTGCCAATGGAGCTCCGGAATAGGGGTTCTACCTAGTGCTGGGAGGGTAGGAGGCCAATAAGGCACCAACCCAATCACCTCTGTGTAACCATTTCATGGTATTAAATGTTTCACCACCACCACCATGCAAGCAGTCGTTTACGAAAGACATTCCAATTAAGAGGCGTTTACTCAAGGACACACACAGCACCCACAATATTTTATCGGTTTTCTATCATGTTACTTATTTATTTAGAAAATACTGCAGGGTAAGAATAGCCCAGGCAGGAGTGGGGATGGTACAGTACGAGGATATGACCAAAAAAAGCAACAATACAGGAGGCAAAAACTAACAGGTAAATATACAACACATTATGGTACAAGATCTAAGTTACTTCAAAAATATTTTCAATACACCTTGACACGTTTCCAGATTCAAAAATGTGTTGTGGTAGTTCGTTCCATTCTGTTAATGTGCGAGGAAAGAAAGAGTATTTGAAATTGTTAGTTCGAGCAAAGATAGGAGTGAATTTTTGTGAATGATATCGTCTAGTTGGACGCGAAGATAACAGAGAAAGAATATTTGATAGCTCAAGTACACTTTTTTTTACTGGATACAAAGAAAAGAAGTGGTTAGAAAGAAAAGAAGAAAACCATGGTGCTAACTTTCAGAACAGAACCAGTCAAAATGAAATTACGTATCAGTATAAAAAGTCCACGGGTCCATCTTCAACCATTGTAGGCATTGCTTTCTTCATGGGAGCTGTTTGGTCACTGTATGATGCCACAAAGACTTCTTGTGTTCGTTCGGGCAATGCGCTAAGCTTACCCATGCCATTTCCCAAACACGTTTGAAATGCTTACGAAAGTACAGAGGAAAATAAGCAGAAAAGGGTTCATCACACCTTCTACAAGATATAAAATTTGTTTTTATGGTGAACCTAGATGAGAGAAAAATAAACAAATGCTCATTTTTGAAATTGATTCACGAATGCTAGTGCCCACTGCTATCGGGGCTACTCTTTTACATACATTAAAGAAGTCGACAAACACTGTATCCAGGAAAGACCACTTCTGAAGAGGAAATCACTCTAGGTTGTGTGTCTGCATCCAAAATGCTTATTCGGAAGATATCTGCTTGCTCAAAAGACAAGTGCCTTTATGACTGAAGATAAAAGATAATCTTACACAAAACTTTTTCAAGCTAGTGCTTGTTTGTTCAGTGTGTCTTTGTCTTTGGTGTGAATTGTGTTTGTGCAAGTGTAGGTTGCAGGTGGCTGCACATTTCACGGGGGTTCTTCTGCTGAACTTGTGAAACATTTACATGCACATCTTTATTAATGACTTCTTTTTTTAAATGTGATTCTTGGCCACATTTCAGCAGTGGTCTTTAGTTTCTAACAGTGCTCGTAAACTATGGCTGGAAATGTGCCTTCTTGCCATGAATTGCAGCCACTAGTTTGAACATTATGAATTTCAGATGAAAGTGAGAGAGCAGTAAAATAACGATGTGTGCAGCACAATTATTTTGGAACAGTAATGTCACGCTAAATAGATTTTTGAGTGTATTATAGGACTAAATACACTAAACAAAATACTTAATGCGATATGTCTGGTCGTATAGTCCTCCTTTTGTTTGACAGCAGCTATTGAATTTGCCTACCTCTACACTCATATGTGGCTGTAGGTTGCTGTGGAAGTATCATGGTGTCTTTTACAGATACACCAAGGTTTCCAGCTATTGCTGGGGAAATGAACCACTGGATGCAATGGATTGAAAATCAAGTTAGCACTTCAGGCTCTGGCCCAGTGATGGACTTTATTGGTGGTGAGTGCCTGGGGTCATTTACTAATATTGTTGTTTTGCTGGCGCATATAGCATCTCAAAGGGAGGGTACAATCTGAGGTACTGCACATAGAATTGCAGCAGAAATGATAAAGAAAACAGGTATTGACTCTATGATGGGGTTATTAGAAGAGGGAAAAATAACGCAAATAATAAGTTGTGGACATAGCTTTTAGCTACATTAATATCCTGCCTGAAACTAATAAATAGAAAATGTTTCGAGAAGGCAAAATCTGAAGAATGAAGACTGATGGCCTTGCATAAACTGCATTGAGCTTTCCTAAAGCTGCATTGGTTATATTTGCGAAAGCTTTTTATGCCTTGCCACTGAACATCCACAGCAACATTTTTATTGGCTCTGTACCAAGAAAATATGCTTATCATATTGCCAATCAATGCATTGTCGTGCTTTAGCAGGCATCCACAATACTCCCACGAGTTAGTAAAAGATGATGCAGATTCTTGAATGATGTTCTCAGAGTGTCAGTTTTGGAGCCACCTTCGCAAAATTTTGTGAGACTAGTGCCGGGCATGTTTGGCTGTTTACAGGCCACAAAGTTCTGGCTCTGTGTCAACTGTGCCAAGACAGTAGGCCAGAAGCCTTGATAGATGTGGATGCATCTGGGGCTAATTTCATAAAATATCGCAAAAGTAAAAGTATCATGTAAAGTGGTTGCTTGGGAATGGCACCCCTGTTTTTACATTTTGGTGATATTGTACGTGGGGCAACAGTACTAGGTGTAAACATCAAGGGTTTCCTTTCAGGTTGTTTCATCCAGATTTTGAGATAATGCAGTGTCCAGCTTGAATTCTCTTTCAAATAGGAGATGAAAAACGTATGGAGGTGACATCATGGTGGTACATATTATGTCTTGATCAAAAACTTTGTATTTAGATCTTTTTTAAAATGCTATCTACTCTTGCTGGTATACAGACGTTTGCAAACAAGCAGCTTGTTTTAGCACGGCTCACGAGTACACCAGTGTTGTCATACTTTTGGGCCGCTCGCGTGTTTATAAAAATGCTCGTTATAGTTAAGTTCTTGACCAAATGTGCTAAAGTTTCGCCAGCTTATTTTTCAACACCTAAGGGTTAACCCATACACCTCAGATTATGAGTGAAAAATGAAATGTCATGCTCCTCTATAGGCAACATTCGTTGATTGTAATTGTTCATAAGTGCCAGCCTCGGTGTTCGAGCTAAGGCTGGAGAGTTCAACCTGCTGTCTGGCTGGTTGTGATGACGTCAGGTACCAAAACTTTCAAGATGGCCACTTGTGCATCACCAACAGAGCCACGATGCTAATCGGTCATGGAAATTTCTGTATATCTTGTGTGAGCATGTGAGCTCATTCAATGTTTTAACGAGGTACAGTAAAAACCGAAACTAGCTTTCAAAAACACACCGTAATTAGCTTCTTTCGAGTACTCACATGTTTAGCACTACGTTTTCTAAGCTCTCGAGGGTTCGGATTTTTGTTTGATGCAAAGAAACAACTGAAAATCGCTATGTCAGTACTCCTTTAACTATTTTTATTTTTCTGAAAGATCATGACTAGAGGCTGGATGTATAGGCACGAAAAATTGGGGTTCAAGGTGCTGCGTTGAAAATAGGCAGGCAAAGCACAGTTGTAGGCCTCCAAAATAATATAGACATAATAAATTTTTATAAAAGTTCAAGTTTTCCAAGAAATATGTGTGTGTGACCTATGTCTACAACGGGAAGGCAAAAAAAAAGTTTTAGTTTATGATGGTACAAACTCACCAGTGAGTTAGCATAGCTATGCAATTTTTTTTTAACGCGGTTTTGTAGATCACTGTTTCTACTTTTATTGTCTGGTATGGTGAGTTAAGTTTCCACCATCAGATAAACACGCTCCTGGGTTTCTTTTTTTTTTTTTTGCGGCATGGCTGTAAAGGGCAGCACAGGAGCAAATAGCCAGACTGCTGGGAGGGTCATTTAGCCTCGTATTAACCTGGTCTAATCGTACAGAGTCAATTTTCTCTGGACAACTTAAAAGGTTGTCACCAGGTTTAAGTGTTTCAAGCAGGCAAGAGAAATGCATGCACTGGGCACGCACGATATCGTCTGCCAAGATTCGCAATGCTATGTGCCCTAGAAAAAGGTAGAATGTCAGACTGAACGCTGCTTATCTTTCAATACACAGGTGCGTGCTCGAACATATTGCGGCGTAGTGCTTTACACACCTTTATTAGGCCTGGAAGACAGGACCACACCAGTCACATCTGAGGCACAGAACAGACTCAAGCGATGTCCCCACAAACGATGAAGATGAAAAAAATCATGTGCTGATGGTTAATTATAGGTATTGAAGAAGCGTCTTATAAATGCCCACACTAATTTCTCGCATGGCCATCCTGGCCGTAACTCAAAGGTGCGGAGAACGCCTTGCGAAAGGCTTCATATGCGAGACATTCATACTACCGTATTTACTCGCGTAATGAACGCATTAGCATAATAAACGCACCCTCAACTTCCGTCGTTGAAATTTGGATTTTATTACCAATTATATGGACAAGCTCAGCTGGATTTTGCCACCGTCACTCACCGTATATGTATACGTATCTTAATGCATGAAAACGCATGAAATAAAAATAATCCAGAAAAAGACTTCAGCATGCAGAAATAATTGTGGGACCTCTGAAAATCGTGAGTGCAAGGCGTTAGCCACTGAGCCACGAAGAACCCCCTCCTTCAGTGGCAAGCTATTCATACTTGCCACTTACCACAGGTAACGGGCATCTCGGGGGGAACTATCGTGTTTTCAGCATTACCAGCAAGATGGCGCAGTGAGCACGCGTCCCCACATCATCACGACGCGGCGGCGCGTGCTCTCATCTCCCATGCGTTCTTTGCCCTGCAACGAGGGGTAGGGTGGAAATTCGCGTAAGCGTGCACTTCAGACACAGCGAAGTAACAACTGAGTCGCTTATTCGTGTTCATTTGTACCTGTGAGTACATTTCGTGCGTCATTTGTGCGGGAGAAACGCGGGGCACGTTTCGATCTGCTTGCCATTTTCCGCATGACCTTCCAATTCGTTGTTATCGCGTTCATTGCTTCGCCTTTGGGGTAAAGTTGTGACTTATTTTTTGCCGCATAATAAACGCACCCCCTATATTCATCCGCTGCAGTCTCGCTAACCGACGCATAGCGCCTCTTTCCCCGCTGGATCTCTTCCGTTTTATTATAATTAACCCTCTTCGGCCACCTCGGCTCGCTCCATCCCCACCTTCACTGGCTGCAACGTGCAGTATTGTTTTTCTTTTTATCTGTGTGCAGCATGTCCTCAGTATTTTTAAATTATCTATGTGCCACTGCAGGGTTCACGAACAGTGCGAGTGTAGAGACATCGCAGCTGATAAGCACATAGCGAGCGAAGGTCAGGAAAGTGCCCGTACCAACAGACGGTCGCTTCCTGCAAATACGAAACTTTACTCAGACACGCAATTTTTGAGCAACGATGACAGGATTTGCTATCACGATGGCTGTCGCGGAGGGCAATTTGTCGCCATTGCGTCGCAGGTTTCTGGAAAAGCAGAAGAAAGTCGCTTGTCGCCCAGAAAGGATTACGACGAATTCCGTAGCATGGTAGCAGCCGTAATTCTCGCTTTGGTTTCGATTTGCTCTTTGTGCTTGTTATACGTATGTAATTTAAGGAATGCAAGACATACCTTTTCTACAGTAATTTCTCATGTAGATAGTGAGGCGGTGGCCGTATTCTGTTGTTATCGATGGTTCATTTTGATGCTTCGGTGGTAGCTTGCTGCAATGTTGGTTAGTTGCTACAATGTCAACAGTGACTTCGTGGTCGTTATGCGAGGTTGCTGCGAAGTTGGCTAAGTGCGTCGTAGTGCATGCTTCTGGGTCCTCATCAAGATCACAGTAGATACCATTGTTACGGTTAACCGATTGAGAGAAAAGATAGCCACAAAATGCTTTTGTGGCATCCGCAGGTGGCGCGGGGACAGCTTGCGGAAGATAGGGCCATCAATCCCCGAAGTTGAGTGAAGTGCAACAAGGAAGCTGTTTCCAAACACTCTACACATATGTCAATTGCGAAAGATTAAGCAATTAAACTTTTTTTTTGCTTTACTGCATTTTCGCTCATCCCAAAAAAGTTTTCATAAAATTTGCCCCGCATAATAAATGCACTCCCAGCTTTTCTCCGACATTTTGAGAAAAAAAATGCGTTCATTACACGAGTAAGTATGGTATCTCAGTACCGCAACAGCGCCAGTCAGCTGGAGCACTCACAGGTTCAGTGCGATAATTAACGGAAGAGGTCTGCTCTAAGACTGTGTATGGGCCGAGAAACTGAAACGGGAATTCGTCGCACAAGCCAGGAGTGCGAATGGGTATTCGGGGTCGCATCTCGTCGCTGAGGCGGAAGAACGTAGCCATGTGGAATGTGTCATGCAGACTTTTGCGGTCTTGTTGTCTTGCCTCAGTGTTGAGCCTGGCAAGCTGGCGACAGTGGCGGAGGCAGGACACATATTGTTCACAGGAGGATGCAGATGGAGTAACAGGGGCGGTCAAGAACGAGATGTCAAGAAGAAAATATGGCGATCGGTAGTGGACAAGATAGAATGAGGAGAACCCATTTGTGTGTTGTATGATGGTATTGTACGCAAATGTTATAGATGGCAAAATTGCATCCCAGTTTGTGTGGTATGGATCAATATGCATGGCTATCATGGGGGAGAGTGCACGATGAAACGCTCAGTCAGCCCATTGGTTTGGTAGTGAAAACTGGAGGTTGTCGTGTGGCTGGTACCGGAGGCTCTCAGCAATTTCTTCACAATTTGTGAAAGGAAAGTTTTTCCACGGTCACTCAGGATGGCATAAGCTCCAGCACGCAAGATCAAGGCTTTAAGCGTAAATGTAGCCACATCAGAAGCGGAGGCTGAAATCACGCAGAACATTTCAACGTGACGTGTCAAATGATCGACAGCCGTCACTA